ATACGATCACATCAGTAAGTACAAACTAAATGTATTAAAGAATCGGTAGTAGTGTGTCCTTCACTGTTGTACTGCTGTCTAAATTAAGTGTTACTGAAAACGTGTTTTCTTTGTCCCCCAACAGAGCATGACAGGTGGAGGAAGTACCACTGAAACCCACTGGACCACCAGGCCACTCTAATCTTTTGTCTGCAGCAGTGTGATCATCACACCTCAGCTTTCTCTGTTTGTGACTGTTGTGACCAAGAATAAAATGACATTTATTTAATTTTGACTCTTTTATTGAAAGTATACGAAATGTTGGCTGTATGTAGAAGAGCTTGATTAATATTCAAATTTCTTGATGAATTAAACATGTATGAATTTGATTGGGGTTTAATACAGTTTTTGTATGTCATGACACTAGCATTAGGATGGTTTTAAAACGGATTAAGTGGTCAGTAACACTGCAGCCCAGATTACTAGGGAAAATGGGGGAAGTCTTTATTCAAGCAAAAAGGACCATTCAAAAGCTAAAACCACATGAATATTTGATATTGTGCTACTTGTAATGTTTAGAAATGTAGACGAAACGCGTCCAAGATAATGGTTTCATAAATCAAGTTAATCTTTATTGTAATCAGTACAACAACACAACAAATCAGTTTCATTTCATATATACATTAAGCATCTTGATAGACTACAAAGTGATGTCCTTTCTGCCTCTCCAATTTCAGATAATCTTGGTTGCTAATTGACAACATTCTCTCTAAAAAGATATTTTTCATATATTTCCCTTTAATTTCAACATTGCTTTTAAGTTTAAGCAATCAAGATGCTTGTTGCTCCAATACAAAAGACTAAGGTTTCATGTGAAAGAAAAACAAAGATCTATATGAAAACGGTGGTTACTGATCATTCTGTGTTTTCAGTGTGTACTGTAACTGAGATGCACTTGGCACATGTACAGTGAGGTAGAGCCACATTTACGTCCCTCAACTAAAGCTTTTGCAGTGAAAAGTTAAAGAAATGGTTCACCCAAATATTAAAATGTACTCACCCTCAGGCCGTCCAAGATGTAGATGAGTTTGTGTCTTCATTGGAACAGATTTACAGAAATTTAGCATTACATGACTTGCTCACCAATGGATCCTCAGCAGTAAATGGGTGCCATCAGAATGAGACTCCAAACAGCTGATAAAAACACAATAATCCACATGACTGCAATAGTCCAAAACTATTATAAACAAATGTCAGTGGATTATGGACTTGTATTTTGGCCGGAACCGATGGTTTAAAGATAAAATGCCTTAATGACAGATTTGTGTTTTTAAAAACAAGCTGCTTTTCACTTCACGAGACGGTAATTGATGGAGTCATGTGAATTATTTTTATGTTTTTATCAGCTGTTTGGACTCATTCTGATGGCACCCATTTACTGCTGAGGATCCATTGGTGAGCAAGTGTAATGCTTAATTTCTCTAAATCTGTTCTGATGGAAAAACAAACTCATCTACATCTTGAATGGCCTAAGGGTGAGTACATCTTCAGCAATTTTTCATTTTTGGGTGAACTATTTCTTTAATGTACTAGGAATGATATATCTCACTTTGCAAGTTATAGTCACGTTTATTGGAGATCCTTTTTGTAGAAAACTTTACTGTCCACTCAAAAACGCCAGGTGTCCTTTTGAACATTTGTTTGCATAATGGCCCTTTTCACCACACTGGAAAAAGCAAACAGATACTAAATGTGACTGTACATTTGAAGTATCATCATGCATCAGAGTACTATGTCAAAAAAATGTACTTTCTGCATAAAATCAAATGGTGTCCCACCTTGTAACACGTAACTTGATCCAGTGGACGAGGACCGCGAGGTCCACCCATGCTGTTAGAGTGCAATATCCCAACAGCATTTGGCATTCTCTGGTTGTTGTGGACATTGGTGTTGGTTAACTGGATGAGTGATTGTGATGACCTGTTTGTGGGCTGCGTGTTTTGCTGCTGGAGATTAAAATGAAGATGAAACATTAGTATCAAGATAAACATTAAACGTGTTTTGAAAAAAAAAAA